GACTTTTTTCAATAAGTAACTTACGTTTGAGGTCACGCCCCTCCCACTGTGGGCGAATCTCAGCACACGCAGATATGACGGACTCTTGCCAGATGTTTGTCTTCGCCAAGGACTTTTTTGCAATCTTTAAACTCTCTTCGCGGACGAGATTACAACATTTGTGGGAAGCACCGCCCATCTCGAGTACTCCCCTCTCTTTGTGCCTCCTCACTTTGATGAGACAACCTTCTGCTGACCTCAGTCCACTTCTCTCCAGAGCAGTCCTGAGTTGTTACGAGTGGTTCTCTCCAACTCAGGACTGCTCTCCGAAGCGGCATGCCGCACCGAGTGTGGCGAGGTACCATCAGACTTCGCTGATCTTTCCAGGCACAGCTATTAGTTGGCGAGACTTTGGTGCAGCCTGTGCGACCCCCCCTCTTTTGCGCGTTCGGTAGCCCATCCCTCTACTAAAACTTATGAGTTCTTCCCCCCCCCCCGCCCCCCTCCCCCTCCCGAGGAGCGAAGAAGCTCATGTTATGTATAAGTAAGCGGAAAATGGAAAAAGTAAACATCCTGAACGAGCCCAACGAGGCTTTTGCTCATTTCTACCCTGATCAGAAAGAATAAAACGAAGGTCAAGGTTTCACGCACCTTTCCTCGATCAAAACAAACTCTGGTACCTGAATCAACTGCTATTAGAAGAAAAAAAAACAGAAATTAAGCCAACTTCTCCTAAGCATCTGAGCGGTCCTAAGCACAACTGCTTTGCTCGCGCGCCTCTGACGTGTATTCATGTAACTCATGGTCTAGATAAATGTTCCGATATTCGAGTTAAAACCGAGAAGAAATATATTCGAATATTCAATAACTGAAGAAGAAGATAACACGAAAGAGTTATATATGAACGAGATCAAACCAGCCGCAATCGGTGATATAAAGCGAGGTTCCGATGGCAGCTGAGGATTTTGGGCAGGACCACCCATGTGAACCGCGAGGGTTTTAGCAAGTGTGGGTCTTTGAAGACCAAAACTTGCTCAAAATCGGACCTGTGGGGAGAAGACCGTTATTCGTGTAGAAAAGGTTCCGCTTCCTAAAAGTACTGAAACTGTTAGGAGCGCAACAAGTCAGCCGAAATCTCCATTAATCGTATCATTGGGGGTGATTTCAATGAACAGTTTAAAGGAACGTCCGCCGATGAGTTACCAATTGAGAATATCGCGTTGGAGGTAGTGCCGAGTCCGCAGACGAAACACCTTTTTGGTACCGTTGCGCTGCAAAAAGTGCAGGAGAGTAGCTCCTATTAAGCGAAATAGGTTCAGTCCGCTCACTACCACATCTGAACATGCATTTAATCTTCCACTTATTTATTTCGCCAAGTAGATATCGCCACCAGCTCCTCCCCCAAGCGCCGCCCTTCAGTGAAATCGAATACGCACGACAAAGCCCATGAATCAGCGCGCATTCGTTATTTGTACGGGAGTTATGGTCAGCTGAAGGCGCGCGGTAGTGGTACAAAACGGAAAATGTATTGCCAAAAAAGTATTGTTGCAAAAGTGCATGGAATTGCCAAGAAAATAGCATCACTTTGAATGCGAAAGCAAAACCCACAACTCAAAAAAGAACATTACACCGATGAGCTCACATGAAAAATTAAAAAATGAATAACAAAAGGTCATCTTTCAAACGTGCGCCACACCATTTCGTGGCAGGCAGCCAATAACGTGGAACGCCGTCGTCATAATCGCTGTTTTCCCATCTCGCATGATCACCCGTACAAACTAGATCGGTAATGTTTGGCGACATTGGCTAATTTTCTGCTTCTTCTTCACTACTGAGTTCCTCTTGAAACCTGTCCTCTTTATGCAAAAGCCAAATCTCACTATCTAAGATGCAAATGATTGCGGCCTGTGCTTTAAATCATATATTTTTTTTTGTAACGCATTCACTCTCACTAAATCTGAGAACTTGTTCTGGATGTTGGAGATTTTCTCTTTGCTAAATAAACCTTTGACTTTCTTCTAAAAATCTGTGCATCGATCATGACATCACTCTCTGATAATCTGGAGTAATCATGTCCAGAAACACTCCAGCATGCTGCCCGAAAACCGTTTCCTGTTGATACCGTTTCAAGTGACGCGTCTACTCGAAATAACCAGAAACATGAAAAACCGTATCCTTGGGTGAGCAGGAGCCAGATACGGTTCCTTAGCGGCCGATCGGCTGACTTTGGATGCGCGCAGAAGTGCATTTTCGCACCTATGGCAATGTCTGGTCCACCCGAAGCAAATGTGTCTGGTAGACTTCAGGAAGGTCCATGCAGCGAACCCTATGCGACCACTTTAATTACAGTGTTTTCTCAATAGCGTATGATGGAGCAGTGCCCTGGTGACGCACGCAGATTCGTGCTCGCCAGATGATTCGATAAAGGAACCAACTGCTGGAACGTCTGAACGGATATGTATCCTTTCGTTTGTGAAGAAAAAAGCGAACGTATGGTCCATGCGCCAAGCTGCGCCGACGCGACGCCGCCCATTCATCCGCAGCGAATCAGATTATGCAAGCGCTTACCAGATTGATGCACCTTATTAATATTCCAGTTATTCGGAGTTATTTTGATGAATGAAGTTTTGTACTATTTTTTGCATATCCGAGTTCTCTACAAAGCAAGTTTCGTTGTACAGGACTCAGCACATTGACAATTTGCGCTGCTCGTTACTGGCTGCCGCACTCACTACGACCCCCCTCTCCTGGCGGCCAAATACGACCCCCCTGTATGGGGATTCCCCAACCAATGCTGTGCCCTGCTCCAAGTTGACGGCTAGAGGAAGATTCACGGAAACAAAGTAGCCGTCCCTTGATAAGGGAAATCGATCCCACAGCCTTTAAATAGCACCAGCGAAACGGGAAAAATCAAGAAAAGCCGACAACCGAAAATATTTTCTTCCGAAGCAAATATCCCCCATCCCCCTTCCTCCAGTGACCAAGTACGAACCCCCTTGCTGGGATTCAAAACGTCCGACGTCTGTGATTGCTTGGCACATTGATGTTGCTGATGCCTCACTTTGGGAGGCCAGACGCAGTCCAGAATCTCTAGTTTGGATGAAAAGTCTCTCAAAGATAATCGGTGACATCACCCTAAGCAACTTCGGTGAAGTTTGAAGTAATCTCGGAATTTTAGGTTCTTGGCACAGGTATGCTAGTGCTCTTCGTGTGTTGCATCATTGACAAAAGAAACAAGATTCCTGAAGCGGCCCACCCTTGGTTATTCGGATTTGTACTCGTGATGATTGGTATGTCAATAGTCTCAGAATTATTAGAATGCCAATGTCAAGCACTTGACAATTCAATTTGAAGGATTACAAAAAAATGCCTTCGCCCACATAACGTATCCCCAAAACTTTTTGCGCATGCATGGAATGACGGGAGAAGCAGTTACTTCGAGCATGTACATTGGACCCTGGTCCCAGCCCATGTCTCTCCAAAATCCATCAAATCGGTAGGCCTGGAATGTCAGGGTGCCTGAACTTCAAGTTGACCAGTGAGGTGGAACCATGGAAAATAAATCATGGACCGTAGTCACGTTAGCCGAAAAACTCGACGGCTGATTTCTTCTAAGGTTAGAGCGACAGCCTTAGGGTCATACCGCAAGCGTAGAAAATTGCTCACTGCTTTGTGCTGACGCCGATACTGTACTGATCAGGCTTGAACTCGACGGCGATGGCGGACCATTACCAAGTCATGACCACTGAGGCTGAGGTCAAATGCCTGCTCCTGCATAAAGCAACATCTCAGACATTTCACGGCAGCTTTAAAAGTGCCTATCACCTTATGCGGAGTAAAGTGTGCTGAAGCACTCCACTATCAAATTTCTGTATGGCTTTCTTTACTATTCCATTTGAGGGTACACTGCACTTACCTGGAATTGGAATTGCACGATTTTCGTGCGCGAGATGTGCCCATTTGCAGCCATGTAAATGTAGCACCTCCAGCATGTTATGCTCTTTGTCTGGTGCCTGTCTGCGAACTGCTACGAGATATACAACAATCATGCCACAAGGCCAGCCATATGTAATACGGGCGCAGGCGGGCAAAACACATGTCCACCTTGAGCGAAAACTTCTGGAACCTTGCTAATAATTAGTGGAGAATTAGGGAGAAGAATCCTTCAAAATTTGCACGCTTCTGGGCAATGAGATTAGATGAATTAGTTGTGGTACAACTCCTGGCAGCGACATCGGACCAAAAACCAGGACATCGGTCCAAACTATCAGATTTGATTTCAGTGTTGCTTGCGGTGGAGGTTATCTTCAGACCTACCTTATTTAGAGGCAGTTGGCACGATAAATCCCCAAGACGACTAGGATCAATACTCCTGGCAGGATAGAATTCCGCGACCCTGGGCAGGCGCTGCATAGCGGTTTCCCCAAGGTGCCCTTATAAGGGCCCTATCAAGCCACAACATTACGTCCCAAACGCCCGCCACGCCCGCCCGCCCACAAATGGACGATTCCTGACGCTCGTATTCATTCATTTGCTAAGCAAATTATGAAGCGAAGGGATTGGTATGAAGCGGCCGTGATGCTGCATGCATATATGGGTACACATATGCAGCCGTATCTTCGGTAGCGGTGATTGGCAAGATGCCTACGGGAAACTCGTCCGAAATCGATTTTCAAGTCACTGAGAACGGAGGCTTTTTCTTCGCAGGATTTTGACCGTTTCACTCCGTTCTTTCGCCATTTCCCCACTATACAGCGCCCTACTAGCATTTTAGGCTAAGTAGGAAACCATCGTGCCAACTGCCTTTAAGACTACCGAGGTCCACGGTTCTGTTCTAGAGCGGGCCAGCCCGTTGATCAACAGTCATTGTACAACGTGTGCAACTTTATGTAAAATATAGATAACAGAGAGTCAGTGAAACTTCGTGTGGAGAAACTTAGAGAACGGGAAAGGTCCGCGACGAGATCTGTTCCGAACTGCAACATTTAGAAGCATACGGAAGCTGATGCGACTATTCACATATGCAAGGAGAACAGCTGCTCATTTCTGGACTGGACGGAGGAGCGTGCAGCACTACCAAGGCAGCCGCCATGACAATGTTCGCAGCGCACAAAGATCGCTCAGCAGCTCAAACGAAAATCCGCGATATGGCTAGTAGTCGCCAGTTGCGGCTTAACACTCCCTTGGCCAAGAAAATACAAACAAGTTCAGGTCTAGGTTCAATTTCTTCCACTCATAGTCAAGCAGACTTTGAGGAAGACGTCCATTCGGAGTGGGAGTGGGTAGTGGCGAAGAGCAAGTGATCATAATAAAGACTACCCTTGAATGGATCTACTCAGTTGTTGTTTCTAACGAATTTCATTCTGCAGTCGGACGCGTATTCATATTTCCCCATTCCTCAACCTTATACAAGCGGCAAAATAAGGCTGCACCCTTCCTGATCGTCCTGCTGGGGCTAGACGATCAGAAAGGGCGCAGCCTTATTTTGCCCAGCGTCCAGCAGCGTCCCGGGGGCTAGGGAATTGGAGGTATTGAACTAGCGTCCGCCAGCGTCTGCAGCGTCTACCAGCGATCAGCGGCCAGTAGAGCTGGAGCGATAGGCACAGCTGGCACAGTACGAGGAGATACGAGGGTCTTCTATCTCCATACTCTCCACTCTCGGACGGTGCTGGTAGCTGGTAGACGCTGGCAGACGCTGGCAGACGCTAGATTGATATCTATACTTTCCTAGTCGCTGACGCTGCCGGACGCTCGGAACGCTGGCGGACGCTGCCGCAGAGTATGAACGCGGCCTTTATGAAACCTCCACTGGGAAAATAAATGTCGTACTGAAGATCAGAACCACCTCCCATTGACCCTCAAATATCCATTAGGTTTGGCCAAACACTTCGTGGCGCTGAAAGTGTTCCTCCTCGAAGTGAAGGCCATATACGTGATCAGAGCTAGTTCTTCGTAGCTAAAATATAGACTGTCATGTTTCTATTGATAAACGGTTTTAGGAACATGCTGCGGTTTGAACCTTGGATATCCCATCAATCCTGCTCGTGATCTGGGGCCAAGGATTTTCGCTCATTTCATTTATGGGCCAGAGGTGTGGACGTGAGTCTATGAATCTTTCAAATTACCCAACCTTCTCATATATAGAAGGGATTTTTCGTCTCCTGTTAACACATTCCGGTGTGTCACAGTGTGTCATACTTGTCTGCTCCCTGTGGCCACGTGACACACATGGTGTGTCATGATCTTCAGAGGCTAACATACTGTTACACGAATTCTCTTAGTTGTTATATCCTTGTAAGGGTACCAATTCCTGTGTATGGTTGGGCCATGAAAAGCTCCTAGAGTGTGTAAAATATTTTTTTGAAGTATGACTGATTTATAAGACCATCATGCTATAATGCATCGCACATAAAACAATTAGCTGACAGACTGATCTGCTGACGCCACCACTGTGCCGACCATGATTTTGGCACACCCTTATAGCGTGACGCCACTGAGCGCCAGTTTGGCGCTGCGGCTTTTTGCATTCCAATCGAGGAAACATGCGTTTGAGAGGATGATCAGGAATTCTCACAGAACTTAGATACGTTCTTGAAGCCGGCGCTATTTGACGCAGTTTGGCGCCAGTTTGGCGTTATGACATCTTTCACGGAAATCGACATAGATATGCATTTGGAGGTTAGCGGGGTCTCTGATTAGTATCTCCAACGGTGACTTCACGCGACGCCACAACACGCCAGTTCAGCGCTATGACATTCTTCGTCGAAACAATGTAAGCTTACGAACTAGGATAAATGCATACATAATATTCGTGTTTCGCTTCATTGAAATCAGATGTGGATCTGTTCATACTCTGCGGCGGAGAATCGGCGAAAACGGCGTCCCGGAAAAGTGCCCTCTCGATAGCTGACCATCGAACGGAGGCAGTTGCCAGGGCTTAGAGAGAGAGAGAGAGAGAGAGAGAGAGAGAGAGAGAGAGAGAGAGAGAGAGAGAACATTCGAAAAACGGAGAAACTCGCTTACTAAGAGAGTGCAGGCGGTGTGTGCGCTTGCGACGAAGTGTGAACGCTATCTAAGGGACCAAGCTTTTCAAGCTCTGCATGCAAGGAGGCTACACGTGTCGCTTCATAGTGTATGCCGGTAAGGACATCAGCCGGCAAGGATCGGTAGCTGGGACATTGTGCTGAAGCTGATGGACGGATTACTTGACAGCGGAAGATGCATTTACACCGATAACTATTACACCTCAATTTCTCTGGCCGAAGAACTGCTCGTCCGGGATACTCACCTGATCGGTACCCTTCGCAAGAACAGGAAAGGTGTACCGAAGGAAGTGCTCTACAAAAAATTAAGAAGAGGCGAGCAAGTAGTTCGAAAAAATGGAACATCACCGTATTAAAGTGGAAGGACAAAAGGGACATTCTGATGCTCTCGACTAAACATGACGGCACCAATCATACTACTAACACAAGCCGCATGTCGTAGAGGACTACAATCAGGATTGTCACACTGCGGAGATGTGTCAGAGATCGATTTGTCAGACCAGATGGCCGCATATACCCCTTTTGTTCGCGAGATTACGAAATGGTATCTCCAACTGGCGTTTCATCTGATCACTCAAACGACTCTAGTAAACGCGTGGAAACTTTTCAACATCATCACGACTAGAATGCCTTTTCATTCAAATGCCAGCTAGTTGAATATCTACTACAAAAAACCATTCAGCCACGCGCCTGTGTTCGAAAACACGAGCTTGTACATTTACCAGGACCAAGACGACAAGCTAGAAGAAGGTGCACAATCTGCTACCAAAAGATGACAAGCCAATATTACTCCAAGTATGCGGCGGCTCGGTGCAAACGAACAGATACACATTGCAGCGCATGTGGCAGATTCTTCTGCTTAGAGTGCTTCCAGGAGAAACACCGATCGTGTACAGGAGCTTGAACCTAAAGTACCGCAGTACTGTAAAGTCTTGTTAGGAGCTGTTTGGAATGAGAAAAGGACCATTCGTTTTATCAGAATACTTCTCTGTGCAGCGAATTGTTGAAGAGCTGAAGTTTTGTTATTGTAGCGTGTTTCACCAATAAAATCTTTCACATTTCACATATCAATGAAAAAACCGAATGTTGCGATATTCTTTATTTTCTATTCTTATGCGATATTCTTCAAGCGAGCCGTTGCAAACTGGCGCGTAGTGGAGCCAAATGGCGTCGGCGCTCAAAATGGATGTCATATTCAGGACCACCACCCATCAATACCCCAAATGCAAAATTTCATCAATTGCGTTGGGAACGATCGTTGCGCCTAGTAGGCGCCCAGTGGCGCCAAACGGCGCCAGCGCCAAAAGCGAATGTCATATTCGTGTTCGCGATCCCTGAATACCCCTAAATGCAAAGTCACATCAATTTCGTCAAAAGTGATCGTGGCGCCAAATAGGCGCCCAGTGGCGCCAAATGGCGCCAGCGCCAAAAATGAATGTCATATTCGTAATTGGCATGTGAAAGAACCCCAAATGCAAATTTTCCGTGTGAAGTAACCAAGGAGAAAGAATCGCGTCTAAAACCTGCCCCGTGTGGCCACATGACACACCATGTGTGTCACGCCAGCCTCGCATCGAAAAAGGCCGCGGTCACACGTGAATGCCACGCGAAATAGGCGTCGGTCCGGAATTCTGTTAATGATACCACATTGAAACCCCGCGTATGTGGAAGCCAGCGATTTTGGTAAATCCGCTGCTTGGAAGAATACGTGTTCCTCAAATGGGCGGAGTCCGTTGATTGATTCGAAATTGACTTGAAAAAAATTGAACAAAATTGAAAGACTCCCCCATTCGAATCCATAACCACTACCCAAGCGACTATGAGTCAAAGAGATCGCCACTTCAAATGCACAAGGAAATACAACCTTGAGCTAGCATTTGTTTGTTGCAGCTACCTCAAGATATTTACTTGCAGATTCCATGACTACTACTTTTGGATACCTATAATAGCTCCATTGTTTGGTGGTATATTTGCGGGATGGCTTTACCACGTATGCATTGGAGCCCACATTCCGGATCCAGCAGATTACAAAGCCATGCAGGAAGGTGCGGACTCACTATTGCGCGAACACGCGGAACCATTACTAGCCCATACACAAAGCGGAGAGAAGGACGAAAAGAAGGAGAGCAAAGAGAAGTGAGCAGATTTTTCATCTCAACACCGATTCTTATTTTTCTCCAGTAGAATCTCAATTAAACGAAAGGACTTGAAGAGATTTTTAAAGAGACGCTGTTTTCAGGGATGCACCCTAAAAAGCAGAGTCTGCGAAAATATTATATGATTCCAACAGTTGGAGATATGATATGATATCAACAATTGTGGTTATTTCAACAAGAAATGTTAGCGTTATTAGTTCATTTTATGCTATTTTGTTTTGGTCCAATAAACTCATTATTTGGATTGCTTGCTGTGATCATCACTGGCGAATGACGTCTGGACCAGATTTGTGTGTCGGAGATGAACTATTTGGAAAGTTAAGGCACCGTTCGTACATTGCGGCGCGTCCACCAGCGTCCACTAGCGCTCCCAGCGTCTGCCAGCGCATAGCAGCTTTCCTCAGCGAGCAGGACTAGAGAGTATGGGGAAGTAGGAGGGTGGCAAACAGCTGGATCAGGCTTCGCGAGATTGCGGTTGTGCAAGCGCAACTACACTACAGTGTACATCAATTTATTTACTACACGATAAAACTCGTGCGAAAAGGTCAACAACAACAGCGTTACAAAGTGGTTGAATGACATATCCGCATTTTGAGCTAGATCTAAAACTAAAAATAAAATACGAGCAAAGCAGTATGAGAGAAGAATACAATATAAGGAATAATAAGGTGGCTTACCTATGGTCAAAGGACTCGCTGGCTCTAACACGTATTTAGATAAGTTCTGAGTACTCCACAAGATAGTGGCATAGACGTCTTTTACATAGCTTTTGGCAAAAAGGAACTATTGCTAAGCGTAAAAAAATGACGTCGACAATGCAACTTGGCTCTGCCCACGTCTAGCTTCAGCCTAAAGCCTCTTGTCACTGAGGTCACTGAGGACAATCAAAGTGTGTTCGTGCGCAGAAAACGCGCCATTAATTGGGACAAACAATGCGTATTATGCGCGACAATCTAAGTGTGTTCAAGCGCACAAAACGCCGTCAAACCCGTTCTCTGCCTTCTTGTTGAAGCGCGCATGCGACAAAAAGTGGTGGAAAACGAGTAATACGAACGATATGATACAGTCATATCATTTGCTCGCTTTAACAACTGGTGGAGAACGGGTTTGGCACCGCGCCAAACTCATCCCGCCTGACACGCCCAACCGTCCGCAGCGAACTACACTTTATTCAAGTATTGTCTACATTACACCACCGTTCTTGAACTGTACGAGAACTGTTTGCAGCTCACCCCTTCCAGAGAAAGCTCACCGTTTGTTTGCACATTTACTTCATGAACTGTACAGGATGCAGTTGTTCTGGGACCTGTTTTATTTAATTCTGTTTATAAAAATGCGAGAAACATGATTCACCAATCAGAGAAAGGTTTCTTTGTTTGTGACAGCATTATCAAGTACAACATGAGGAGTGTGCTGCTAATGCTGTTGCTAATTTTTGTTAGTAATGTTGTGCCTCACGAGGTTGGTAGGTGGAACATTTATTAAATCGGCCTAACGTTTCGACTGATTCGTCGTCTTCGGAGGCCTAAAAGTGATTCGAAATTCAGATTTATGCTCTACACCACCAAGCGCTTCATCTTCTCTAGCGGTTCGACATTCTGTCGAGATCCTCGAAGAGAAATCGAAGCAATCCAGAGAACAAACTCACGGTTCCAAAAAATCTGCTATCACTTTAGAGCGTTAGTAGATGACGAGTAATGCGTACTGTTCAGTCTCCTGATATTAGCAAAAGTGGGAGACGCACGTAATGCGCTTTGATGTTCTACAGCTCGCAGTGCAGAATGAATGGTGCCGGTTCGCTTACCATTGAAGGACGCTCATCTCGATTTTTCATAGATGGATTCCCTGTGGAAATTCAGAACGCTTCTAGAACTTTTCTCACACGAATTCCCGTCTCATGCCAACACTGTACAACTAAAATCGGCGCCATTATGTTCCTCAGGCTTGTGCCTCTCAAGAGCTGTAGAAAAAGTACTGCGTCTCATGCTAGCCGGATGTTCCTTGATACGAAACGGCTAGGAACTTTCCAGTCTCCCCAGTATAGGTTGCGTTACATGCTTGACATCCGATCTGATAAATTACGTCCCTATAGGCACAGTCTTCTGTCCTACCATGAGGGCAAATAACACAACCTTCTGACATACACTGCCTATCATAGAGCCGATTTCGAACCAGTTGTCGTTTTATGCTTCCGTTAGGATATTCACTAACTGAACATCGTCGTGCAACTGCGCTCTTCTAATGCTGTTGTTAATGATAGCAGCTCTATTATGGATCTCGGAGAGCGGTCACATAATAAGCATTCATTTATTGGTAAAGCAGGGTGGGTGATTTTCACTGGAGAACACAACATCAGACGAAAATTGTGGAGGGAAGGAGGAGAGGTTGCGTGATCGTTGACACCTTGGTTATTCGGAATACCTCCTCCAAACAGCCTCCGTATTCTAATATAAAATGACATTCTGGCATGTGTCGAGTCACAAAGCTCTATATCTATGAATCTATGAATTCTAGGCGTGAATGCCTTCGGTACAAGTTGAAAGACCGAGGAGACTTGCTTACCCAAACCCTTTAACAATCTTCATGGCATCTTTACTAAGAGGTAAACCACATCGAAGAGGTAAGCTGAGGTGAAGTTGACGCTGGCATGCCTTGTTCGTAGTCATAATCATGAATATTACCAAAGATTCATGTCTGCATGAATCTATT